ATCAGTTCCCACGAAGCCACCTTCTTCCCCTTCCCTCTTTCCTCTACCCTGCCCCCCAGCCCCCATTCTAACATGTATGTGTATGTGCTTCATCTGTGTTTTTGTAAGACACTCGTTACGGGTTGGGGCATGTATTTTTAATCGACCTAAGTGGTGCTGTGTTACAGAGTTTGCCTTTTTGCTGTTTTTTGTCCTGCTCTGTAGTCTCAAGCCCCCCCACCCCCATGTACTCTGTTTGCCCAGGGGTGTGGCTCCCCAGCTGCAGAGCATGCCGGACCCCTCCTAGTCTCCCGTCCAAGGGAGCCCAGCGCACGGTGTAAAAAGGTCCTGTTGTGTACCTTGGTACGCCACCTGGTGGAAAGAGTCACCTTCTGAGGCGAGGCCTGGAATCGTGAGAAGCCCTAGTAAGCGGGATGGAAGGGAGGTGTGAGTTGTACAGCCACCCCTAGCCATAGTGTTCTCCTTGACCTTGAGAGGAGCTTGACCGCCTGGGCCCCCTTCTCTCTTGCTATAAGTAGAGACAGTCTCTTTCCTCCCCACTTGGCAAGATTATTGTGACAATTAATGACCTGCGAGACAGCTACCTGCACTTCAGATCGTTAGACTTTACAGTTTATTTTTCGTTGCAAGTTTGCGTCTAGCGTCCAGACCTGCCTTTGCTTTATGACCGCGGAACTATGCGAGGCTGTATTCTACCGGGCAGGTGTTGGAAGAGCGCCCTCAGGTGGTGGAGCGGGTGCACGGTGCGGGGATGTTTTTGAACGGATTGCTCTTTAGTACTATTTTTACCATGCATAGCTGTTGAATTAAATAGCTAGGTAATGTAGTCTTCTAACTGAGGGATTTTTTTTTTTTCCCGGACCTGACTTGGGAGTTTGGGCTGTGGGCATTGGAGAGCATTACTTGTATTGTCTCATTGCGGTGCTTGCTGTGTTCTTAGGGTCACGCGATGACCTCTGTGTATGTACACGGTTTTTATGTCTACCAGGGGATTAAAACTATTTTAAGTCAGAAATCCGAATTACCCACTATTTTCAGTGGGACAGGAAATCTAATAGCCTTACACCCCTTATTTCCTGTTTTCGGCCTCTAAATTTATCATTACATGGAGACAGGCTGGTGATATGATTTCTTTAAACCCCACTTTGCTGATATTTTGTGACTGTGACTTGAATCTATTTTGGGGGGATAGCTTCAGTGATGCTGGACTCTTTGCTTGGCTTCTTTAAAATTCTTTTCTTCTGGCCACCTGGGTGGCTCAGTTGGTTAAGCGTCTGACTTTGGCTCAGGCCATGATCTCCATTTGTGAGTTTGAGCCTCACATTGGGCTCTGTGCTGACAGTTGGGAGGCTGGAGCCTGTTTCGGATCCTCTGTCCTACTTTCTCTGTGTTCCTGCTCATGCTGTCCCCAGAATAAATAAATATTTAATAAAATAAAATAAAATAAAATAAAATGCTTTTCTCCTACCCCCCTTTCTCTTATAACCTCCTTATCCATTAGGTGCAGACTTCAAAGAAGTTGGTGTTTTCTTAAAAAAAAATTCCAAGGCTGTAGGAGATCCCCTTGCATAGAATTGGTGGTGGCCGTGCCCTAAGAATGACGCCTTACACAAATCATAGTTTTAGCAAAATCTTTACTTTTTAAAGCATCTAAAACTACTGGAATTAGCCACTACTTGTTCACCTCTTTCTGGGTGTCTACTATTGTCCCCAAAACAGATGGATTCACAAGTGAGACACCTCATCTCTTACCTGAACTGGTGGACAATGTTTGGGGAACATTACCTGTTTTCCCTTTGAGCTTCTCTTTTGTGAAAGATGTTTATGTTTAAGGACTCTTCATCCATTCATGCAGCACACGTTGTTAGCGCCCCTGCCCTGCACCCGCCGTGCGCGTGTGGGAACCATCAGAGAGCCTCAGGACCAGTGGGGACGGACTACATAGGGTCTTAGAACTGCTTCTGACTCACAGGGGAGTTTTCGGTTTTATTTTTCTTCTTTTTGCTTCTGTTTCCAATTATATTACTTTCTTACCGCGATCTGTGTTTAGCTCTCTTGCCATAAGAAAAAACGTCAATTACCGCATTTGGATCTTGAAAATGATTTTGAGTGGGGCGCCTGGGTGGCTCAGTCAGTTAAGTGTCCAACTCTGGACTTTGGCTCAGTCATGAGCTCACGGTTCGTGGGATGGAGTCCCTGAGTCTGGCTCTGCACTAACGGCATGGAGCCTGCTTGGGATTCTCTTTTACTCTCTCTCTGCCCTCCCCTCCATGTGCATGCACTCTCACTCAAAATTCTTTTTTAGTGTTTATTCATTTTTGAGAGAGAGAGAGCAATCACAATCGGGAGAGGAGCAGAGAGAGAGAGAGAGAGGGAGACCCAGAATCTGAAGCACGCTCCAGGCTCTGAGCTGTCAGCACAGAGCCCGATGCAGGGCTCGAACCCATGAACCAGGAGATCATGGCCTGAGCTGGAGTCAGATGTTCAATCAACTGAGCCCCCTGGGCACACCTCTCTCTGAAAATAAATAATAAACAAATATTAAGAAAAAGAAGACAGGTGGAAGGCTCCATGGTCTTGTAGACAAAAAGATTTTGAAAAGGCTGTGGCAGAGCCTGTCTGGATTTTCTCTCCTGTGGGATCGCTTCTGTGCACTGTGCTGAACAAGAAGGTACCGGTCGGGGTTTCTCCTGGCTGCGCGTACCCTCCTCGGTGATACCGTTCCTCGCTTTGGACCCACAGGGGCCAATGTGAACGCAGCGAAGCTTCACGAGACAGCCCTGCATCACGCAGCCAAGGTGAAGAACGTCGACCTCATTGAGATGCTCGTCGAGTTCGGAGGCAACATCTACGCGCGAGACAACCGGGGCAAGAAGCCGTCTGACTACACGTGGAGTAGCAGCGCACCCGCCAAGCGCCTCGAGTTCTACGAAAGTGAGTAGAACTCACTTTCCTGTTGTTGTTGTTTGAGTGGTGCTTGCTTGTTTGGAATTGCACGGGTCCGCTGTGCAGGAAACTTTGTCCCAGATGGTCTGTCCAGCCCTGTACAAGGCAGTCAGCTGTCCCGATCCCTGTGAGCAGCCCTCGCTCGCCCTTCAGGGGACAAGGGACAAGTGATCGGGGAAAAAGGACAAGACTTCTCTGGGTACAGATTTTTAAATGAGTTCACACCGCCTTACAACCACATGAGGCTTTCAAACACCTCTTGCTTACGGGGCGGAGGGGGGTGTGGTGAATGATTTATTCAAATTTTTGTCGGCCCCACCCAACCAAACTCCAAAAGAATTTAGAGGCAAATACCATCCACATCTGTCAAATGTTTCCTGGAAGACAGTTTTCCTGCATCCAAATAATCTGGAGATAAAGGAACATGGGAAAATGAATTTCTCCAGGACTTGTTTTTTTCTCTCTCAAAGAACTTATTTCATGAATCTGCAGAAGTTGAGAATATTGTGTTTGGCTTATTTATATTTTTATCAAGCAGATATTTGCATCAAACATGGGGGTTTTTTAAATATTTTTTTTAAGTTTATTTATTTTGAGAGAGAGCGAGCGGAGGGGAGGGGCAGAGTGAGGGGGAAAGAGAGAGAATCCCACGTAGGCTCCACTGCTCAGCGTGGAACCCAGTGTGGGGCTTGATCTCATGACCGTGAGATCATGACCTGAGCCGAAATCAAGAGTCAGACACTTAATGGGCTGAGCCATCCAGGCACCCCTCTACTTGGTTGTAAAGAATCGAATTGTTCTAGGGGCACCTGGGTGGCTCAGTCCATTAAGCGGACTTCAGCTCAGGTCATGATCTCACAGTCCGTGGGCTCGAGCCCCGCATCAGGCTCTGGGCTGACAGATCAGAGCCTGGAGCCTGCTTCTTATTCTGTCCCCCTCTCTCCCTGCCCCTCCCCTGCTTGCACACACATTCTCTCTCTTTCAAAAATAAACATGAAAAAGATTTTTAAAAAATTAAAAAAAAAAAAGAATCAAATCGTTCCAAAAGGCAGTTGTGAGGCCAGACTCTGCACATGTTCTGGCACCTCAGCTCCAGGGGCCTCCAGGTACTTTCCATCTTTGGCCCTGGTGTGCTGGCCTCCTAGCGGCAGGCGTTGTCTCTGGTCCTGAAGGCCGGACCCTCAGCACTGGGATGTGCATGCGCAGACGGTGTCAGCCGGAGCAGTTTTGTGACGCGTGCCACTTCTCGTCGGGCGCCTTGGCCCTGCCGCACACGGTGCTGAGAGCCTGGACCCACAGGAGCCGGCGGCCAGGCCCCTGCCCAGCGCTAGCCCTCGCCCTGGCCCTCAATTGTCCGCAAGTTTGAGAAACGAGCCTACTAGCCTTAGATTAGTCCTTGGCTGACAAATCTGTGTGTCAACTTACGACTTTATAGAAAAGAGGAAAAACCTCCCCAGAATCCCACAAAATGAAACCCCAGCGCACATCACCCGTATCCCATTTCCTGATCTTCCTTCCTAGGTCCCGTCCGTCCGTCCTGGTAGCCATCCAGGGAAAGCATGCAGGGCTGGCCTATTTCCGGTTCCGCCTCGGTATTTGCTAAGTTGAAGGATGTTATGCTATTTCCTTAGGCTGACCTCATGTGCTTCCTGTTCCCTTTCAGAAACCCCTCTGTCCCTGGCACAGCTCTGCAGGGTGAGCTTGCGGAAGGCCACTGGCGTCCGAGGACTGGAGAAAATCAGCAAGTTGAACATCCCTCCCCGGCTCATCGATTACCTTTCCTACAACTGAGCTGCAGGCGCGCGAGGCAGGAGCCGGCTGGGGGCCCCCTGGCCTCTCCGAGCCCAGCGCTGGGTCACTCGGCCCTGCCTCGTCTGCGGCCGTTCCACTGCTGTAGATAGAGCAATGCTCCCGGGGGCCGTGCCGGCTGGCCTGCTTTGTCTTCTCTGCAGACTCCTGGACAGTGTTGCCAAGGCACTGAGAAGGCCCTGCCTGGTCCCGGCCGTCCGGCGCTCTCAGGAAGGGCTCTGCAGGGAGCGCAGGGGAGGGCCGGGCGGAGCCGGGCACCAGGGTGGCCCTGGGCATCCGGAGGGAGGAGCCTGAGCTACGGAGGTCATGGTCGGGTGCCGACCCTGTGGCCTGGGACAGCTGCTTTGGCGATGTCCTGCCGCTCGGATGCTCTTTTCTGGAGCTGCGGTTGGCACTTTCCAGGGCCCACCTGTGCCCGGGTGCACCCGTCACTCAGGGGGCTCTACACGGATCTTGGTCGGGGAAGGGCTCGGGCCGTTTATTCCCCACAACCAGCACAGTGCTTCTTGGGACCTTTTCAGGCCCCAACTCTGAAAAAGCTTATGTGGGGATAAGACGCTTGCAGAGCGTATATAGGCTGTGGCGCTTGGGTGCTGTCAGTGGATCTCTACGACAGGCGACGTGTTCCAGGAGTTGTTCCTGGCACGGAGCGCCGTTAGCCGACTTTAGGGATGAGGTGTCCTCTGTTCCTGCTGTTGCCGACTGAAACCTTCTCCTACCCTGAATTTTGCTCACTCCTTTGAAGCTCTGAAGTCGGCAGAAGAGGTCGCCAGCGCCCAGCGGGTATTCACAACCACCGATTCGTGCATTTTGCAGCCACTTACGGGACATCTGTTACGTTTCAGGAGTTGTCGGAGTGCTTTGAACCGGTGGGAATCAGGCTCCCTGTCCAGGGCAGTGAAGGAATCTATTCCTGTAGTGCTAGAAACAACGAATTCCACACTGTAGGCAGGAGGTGAACTCATTGATATTCGGATTGCATTTGTCTAAGATTGTCTCCTAATTGAAAAACCGAAACCGGGGAGTTAAACTAGAGGACAGTTGTACAATTAGCTCAGGTGTATCTAGTTTCTGAGGGAACGGGGAAGGCACCCTCCTATGAGTCATGCCGGAAGCCGGCGTCCCCAGAAACGGCAATGTCGCCAGGTGCTTCCAGGAAGCCCTGCCGAACAGAAGGAGCCTGGATTGCTGGGCTGCATGACCGACCGGCGGGGTCTCTTCACGGTTCCTCGGTGGGGCCCACATCTGGGGAGAGTTTCACCGCTGCCGCAGGTATTTTCTGTCTGGGCTGTTTGAGCTGAGAATGAGCCACTCCCGTTCCGTTAGAGTCTGAGATCCGAGTTGGGGGTAAATCCGTGTTTTTGCATGTGCCAGTAACGACAGCGACAAACAAAGCACCGGGATCTGCCCGGGAATCTCTGGAACAGAAGCTTGCCCCTAGCAGTGAACGCCCACGACACTTCCTCACGCGGCACACTGAGTGCAGGATCAGACCCCCACACCCACTGCTCAATAAAAATCGTTTGAGTCCATCCTTACGTTCCCGTGGCCCTTGTGTCGGGAGCAGAAACGCGGGACGGGCTTCGCCCTGTCGAGAGGGGCTGCTGTCCTCTTCTCATGTTTTAGAAGGTCATGTGATGGGGCCCTGCCGCCCCCCAGATTCATTCCCTCCTGCCTCTCCTTGTCTCCTCGTGCTGATGTACCGCCCTCAGGTGGGGACACGCTGCCCCGGGGGATCAGATGACTAAGATTTTAGGGCCTCCTGTCCCTCCCCCACTCCCCCGCCCCCCGGCTTTATTGAGATGTAATCGACATGGAACCCACCCGAACCCTTAGTAGGGCTGTGACCGTAGATGCATCTCTGCCCCTCGGAGCCCCGGCCTCCCCCACTGCAGCGGAAGGAGGGAGGTTGACTTCGATCATTAGAAGGACATCGGTGACCAACTCCTCAATCTTACACATTTGAAAGTGGGTCCCCGACACCCTCCTATGTTCTTGTGAAGCTGAAAAATAAGGTGATTAAAAGATGCCTTGAAAAGTATAAAGTGCTCCCCAAACATAAAAGTTACATGTTTGTGTCGGTACTGTGGTTTTGTTGATGTCTGTAGACTTTACAGCCGTGTAAATGATTCTCTTCTGACCCTGGGATGGTCCTGGCTTATTTCAAGATAGTCCTGACTTAGGATGGCCCGGACTTATTTCATAGATCAGAAAGAGCGCTCAGTTTACATCGTATTTATATATATATATTTTAAGAGTATTTATTTTGAGAGATGCGGAGACAGCACAAGTGGGAGAGGGGCAGAGAAAGTGAGAGAGAATCCCAAGTAGGTTCTCGCTGCCAGCACAGAGCCCAACATGGGGCTCAAACTCACAAAGCCATGAGATCATGACCTGAGCCAAAACCAAGAGTCAGACTTAACTGACTGAGGCACCCAGGTGCCCCACTCAGTTTACATTTTAAAACTCGATGTGTCGCTGACAGATTTGGAGAGACATTTGCAGCACAGATAACAAATGACGTAATCAAAATAAATAAAGACCTAGAAATCATTAAGAAAAGGATTCATAACCCAACAGATGAAGGAAAACCGGCCAAGACTCTGGACAAGAAATTTATGAAAGAGAAACCTCGAATGTCCCCTGAAGGGAAAAGGTGGTTAGTAATGATCAAGGAAATGCAGATTAGTAAATATTTAATTCAACAAAAGGATATCAATATATAGCATCTTCCTGATTAAAGTTAAAAGGTCTGATAGTTTATGTGGATGGGGCATAAGGGGGACACAGCTAATGGGGTGTCAGTTGAAGTGTGTATTTTGAAGGGTAGTAGATGATACTGAGCCCCATTAGAAGTGCATACCACACGTGCTCAGTATTTCTCTTTTCATAAACGTACGTTAAACTCAGGCATATCTTGCAGAGACGTGTATGAGGACGTTTAGCACAGCAGTGTTGGTAACAGTTGGAGAGTATATTCTTATAATGCCTATGTTCTGTTAAGGTGAAGACGAATTAGAGTTACATGTTTTCACTAATAGACTAATCTAAATGCTAATAGATTTAAGACTTAGAATGGGAGATGGAAAAAAAAGTTGTGCACCTTATTTATGTGCAGTATGGATCCATTCATATCCTGAGTATCTAAGGATACCTGTGTGTATAGTCAATGCACACCATCACGGAGCCAATGTCATGCTGGGGTCTCCTCCAGGCAAGGAAGGGACGTGTGACTTGGGAACAGGCACAAAGGGAGTGTCATCTCTCTGTGACATTTAATTTCTTAAAGTTATAAGCAAACACAGAATTCTATTTGTTCAGGTTGGGCAGCAAACAGGTAACATGGGTGTATTCTCTATGTGTTTTGGTGTTTTGTGTTTTTTCATAATAACAATGTAAGGCCCAGAGGAGGAACAAATGGCAAAAATGTCTTTTAAGAAAAGAGGAAGAGATCCCTGCCACTGTTATAAAGTGGACTCTGTTTAGGAATACTTTTCAGCTTGGGCCACGCACCTGGGTGGCTCAGTCGGTTGAGCGTCCGACTTCGGCTCAGGTCATGATCTCTCAGTCTGTGAAGTCGAGCCCTGCGTCAAGCCCTGTGCTGATGACTCAGAGCCTGGAGCCTGCTTCCGATTCTGTGTCTCCCTCGCTCTCTGCCTCTCTCCAGCTCATGCTCTCTGTCTCTCGCTCTCAAAAAATAAACATAGAAAAAAAATTAAAAAAAAAATACTTTGCAGCTTCGTACCGGCTACGAGGTCCTATTTTGGTCGGGAGACCTTACGTTTCACAACAGTTGCTGACACTCGCTCACGGCCCGTATTTTTGGGCAGGGAAACAGGTTGTAGCTACTTTCTTAGGTAAACTAGACTCCGAAAGCCCTGAGCGTGCCGTGTGGCTCCCGGGGCCTGCCCGCCTCTCGTCTGAGGTTTTAGCCCTTAGGTGATTGTGAACCTTCTAGATGTGGCTCTGGGCAACGCTCCCAGCCACAAATCCTCCTCTTTGGAGAGATGGGAGCCTGAGGACCTGGTTCACTAGGAAGACCCATCTTCGGGCTCCGGGGCGCTGCGGGCCCCCCCACAGGTTGAAGCGAGGGGAGGTGCACCGTCCTGCCCCTCTCTGGGCCCCCTCCTGTCACGACGGAAGGACGAGGCGTCTCCTCCTTTCCTCCTTCCCGCGCTGATGTTCGCACTCACTGAAATGCTGCACGTGGCATCCCGTCCTTACTTCGGGATGAGTCTGCGCAAAGCTTTGAAGTTGTTGGGGACAAAAAGAATGCCTTTCGTAGCACGTCCCCTTTCCCTCCTGGGTTGCTTGGCCGTGCTTTCTGTCCGGGGGCAGCAAGCCACCCTTACTTTCAAGCCGCCGCGCTCCGTTATTCATGAACGTGGGCCTGACGCGGGCCCTGCACACAAGGCCCCCTGTGTGCTCACGTCATGAGTTGCTGTCCCACAGCCGTCAGGAGGGCCAGCAGGCTGGCGGCTGTCCCGGCCTCAGGGCTGCTCTGTAGCCTTTATTCTTCTCCCTGTAATGGCCCAGAAAACACCTCCAGCCCTGGGGCTTTGCTTTCTCTCTTTCCTCCGTGTGGGCACCTCATGGCATTGACAGCCGAGCCCCATTATGTTGGTGTGAAAGTCCTGTGATCTCCGGCAGTTTGAATGAAACTGTGTCTTAAGCGGGTCCAATCTAAACAAGGCGCCTCCTATAAGCCTAATGTCTCAAAACCATAAATCAAGGGAGAGAAGATTCATGAGAGGTCTCCCCCACCCCACCGCCCAAACACACACTTACTTCTTTATATGAAATTTTCCTTTCCAGCAGCTGGTCTGCAGGTGTGTGGTTCTGGGGACCCAGACGTCAGAGTGGAGAGAGAAGTTGAAGCTGAACCCGGAGCCAGGTTGTGCGATTACTTCGGCTTCCTGCTCTCTGCGTGATCGATGCAGAAAACCCCATTGCTTCCTGTTGTTAATGCAAATCCTGAGACTCATTCTGCTGTGTTAGAGACAGAGTGCCAGATGGGACAGGAGGCAGGAACGTTGACTCAAACCTCAGTTCACTTTCCTCGTGCAGCCAGCCAGCCCGCCCGCCCGCGAGCCTACCCTCCCTCTAGCCACCCATCCAGCCCTCCCTCCCTCCCTCCCTCCCTCCATGCACTCAGTTTCCCCTCCTGCCCTCTCTCCACCCATCCATCCAGCCAGCCATCCCTCCTCCCTCCCTCCGTACATTTATCCTTTGTTCCTTTCTTTTTATTTACTTTAAAC